TCCTAGACAATTCTATTTCATGGACGCGAGACACACAAAATACTTCCATGCTGCTCCGCTATCTTGGCTCCTCCTTTCCTAGACAATTCTAGAACCTAACTTGTTTTGCTGGTTCACTCTCCCTACTATTCCTTCTCCCCTCAATGGCTATCTTGAAGCTATTCAGAATAATAACAGGAGGCATGGCCTCGTCCGGTCCTGTCCTGAGTCACTTTATCCAAGGGAGACGTTTTACTGGGCTTTTGTTGCCCCCGATTTTTCTCACATCTCATCTTTTTCTACTTAGGGTATAGAAGATGTATCAGCCCTGGAAGGCCCTGGATCTCCGGATTCCACTTCCGTTCCTTACTTCTTGAACACAAGGTAATTCTTTCCTGAGCTCATCTCTTCCTTGTAAATCCTCACCAAACGCACACAAAAGCAGCCAACAGAGATGACTAGTTTTTGGCTCTGCAACCTCTTTTCCGTGGGCCGTCAGCTTGGAAAGCACGCGGGCTTCCTCTAAAGTTAGAGCAGGCAGTAGCTTTACCGAACGTTTTGCTAATGCACACCGTGCTGAAGACCATTACAGTGTATCTTTCAAATTAGTTTCTGGGCATCGCTTCCTTTTTGGACCAAACCAGCTGCTTCTTTCTACTCGAGCTGGAGACACATCATCTAGCGCAGCATCTACAAGAACTCCTCACCTCTGCGGGCCCCTGCTGAGGGGGGTGGGAGGCAAGGGGAACAGGGTGAGGGTCCCGCTCACCAGGGGCCTGGCGTCCGAGCCCCTGACTAGGAGCCAGCACTGTCTTCCTAGCGAAAGCCCTGGAGCCAGTGTGGGTGGGCAGCTCGTCTCGGCCCCTAGAACGGGATTCTCGTGGCCTTCCCCATCAGCCACATCCTGCTCTCAGAGCCAGCCTCCAACTTGGAGGAAGAGGACAGACAGTGATAGGAAGCTCCGGAAAGCTTCAGACCTCTTCCCCGCTGCTTGAGGTAAGGGCAAAACCCTCGAAACCAGGGCAGAGTTGGAGCCTCGCTCTCCGGCCGTCCCCCAAGTCCAAAAGAAGGGTCTCTCCAAACCATCCTCTGGAGACTGCGCCTGTCATGCTTGGAAGGCTCAGGTGGTTGAGGCTGGAGCTGCTGAGGCCATGACGTCATTTCTGCAAGAGCCGGGGCCCGGGAACCAAGGGAGGGCTCTGCCAAGTGTGCCCAGCAGTCAGTCCTCCACGGACCAAGACGAGGCCCAGGACGAGAAGTCAGTAGCAGAGGGGTACTGGTGACGGCGTTCCTGTTTCGAGGCACTGGAGCATATGGTGACCAAGACTGGCCTTCAGATGCTTGTTCTGCCCCTTCCCATCTGTGACCTCCTGCACGTAGCTTCGTCTCAGCACGCCTCACTCTCCTCATCCGTGGAAGGGGAATGCTAACTGTACCCGTCTCACGTTACCACTGGGAGCATCCCGTGATAGAGCCCACGTGGTCCTCTTAGCAGCGCTGGGCCCGCGGTCGGCACACGGCACTGTTGCCACGACTACTGAGTGCCGCCAACGCGGGGTACTGCGCTGAGCGCCTGACGTGCGTGACCCTTTTGGTCCTTCCCCCCACACGTGCGGGGAGGTTCCTTTCCTTTCCGTTTTACACACACACACACACACACACACACACACACACAAAGACACAGAGGTTAAATGCTGTGCCCACTTGGCTCGCCAATGGGATCCAGGATGTTTACTTAGGTCTGACTCCCAAACATCTGCCCTGCTCTATTTGCCCTAAACATGCGTTCCAGGGCATCGCCAAATGTGAACATTCCATTCAATACCCACCAACCCGAAAATGCACTGGCAAAAAAACCCCACACACCTTAATGTCACCATGTGCTTTAAAACTTACCTGCTGTGATGTGTAGTTACGTAAGAGGTGTTCACAGTGCCCTTTTTAGAGAGAACGTTCTCCGCTCTGGCAGGGGTATCTAGATTCAGGCAAGACCTGGGACCCAGCAAAAGACCTGGACGCTTCTGTGGTTACAGGTTACAAGGTGGTAGATTTCTTCGCTGCAGCTCTTCCGCTTCGAGCCTGTTATCTCGGAAAGCTTCCACTTTTCTATAAGCCACCTTAAAAAATGTCAGACCGCTCACAGACATGTGGTTCTCGAAGCTGAAAGAGCAGCCCTTGCGTCAGGCCACCTGTCCCACCGGCGCCATTCTACCCGACCGACTGGGGAAGATTCTGCACGCGACCTCCCTCCCAGAGGGCTCCCCGGCAAACGGAAGTGCCTGCCGACAGGTGGCTTAACTGGAAGCTGTTTGGAAGCTGATAGGCATCACCCTCCCCCCCCCCCCCCGACGGCCACAGGATGGCGAGCCCACCCCGTCAGACACGCTAGGCTCTGCCGACGGGGACCCGACAGCTCAGAAGTCTCCCAGACCTGCTCGCCACGTAAGGCTGCCCAGCTTCCATCCCGTGGACCCTTCCTCTCCATCTCGCCATAGCAGTGGCGGCAGATGGGCAGACGGGACTCTTAATTCTGCCGGTGCAATCTCTTCCCCTGGGGACGTTTCAAACTATGAAGCAGGTGCGTGTCTGTGCCACCCTGGCTAGAGCTACGAGTCGGACCAGATCATCTACAGATGCGGCTCAAAGCCAGCGAGAGGCACGTCCACAGTGACCCCAACGCAACAGAGCTGGGGCAAAGGTGTTTGGCTTGTGCCTTCTGAAGGCTTAAGATGATGGAGAGAGGAACGAACGGAAGAGAAAAGCCTTTATGACCCAACGTGATGCGTCACCTGGCAGCCTGCAATGGCAGGACTCACGGGCCAGATGCTCATCTGCCCGGCTCTGGCCGGCAATGAGGCTGCTGAGCACTGAGGGGTCAGACTGACAGCTATGGGTCAAGCTCCTGTTCACCACAGTTCCTTGGGGGGCTGCAGGCCCTTGCTAGACGTTTATTAATTTTTAAAAAATGCACTGTGCCGGCCTAGTTTCAGTTAATGCCTAATAAAGGGAAAAACTGTTGACATAGCACCCCTGAGTCTGACACTGGGCAGCTGAAGTGAGCAAGATCCTTCGCTCTCAGAGATGACACAAGCCAGCAGCCTGAGAGGAAAACAGTCCCTTTTAGAAGCATGCCATTCCCGGGTGGAGGCTGCCTGAGCTTAACAGTACATTAAATGAGACACAACCAGGGTGAGGAGAGATCAGACCCCAGGGCAAAAGAGCTCACGCTGCACGCTAGGCTGGTGGGGTCGGTTGCACAAGCGCCCAGAACAGACGAGTCAGTCACTTCACTGCCCGGTTCGTGTGTGCTTCTTACAACCACTTCGATCTCTATACAAACCCTCCATCTAACGCCCTCCCCACGGTTCACCAGGAGGCCCAAGGGTGGCCAGGGGACGCCTTCTCATTGGCCCTGCTGCTGCCTCCCAACGGTCACTCCTACTCCTTGCTTCAGGGAGAGTGCTTCTCACCCCCAGGGGGGTTTCTGCCTTCACTGGCTGGGAAGATAGCGTGCGGGTCTTTAACAGGTTGCGCTTTCCTACCACCTGCGCAGGAGACAGCCCTGCACAAGCTCTGGTGACCTCACGGACACGCCAGGCAATCTGTGTTAGGAGACAGCTTGAACTCTCAGGCCTCAGGGGCCCATGGCCAAGCACTGACACCTAATATCTACTGAGAACTAGTGTGCTGGGGCGCCCCCCCCCCCCCCCACAAAAGGGCTTTACAAGCTTTTTCTCTTGCTTTTTTATTTTTGAGACAGGAAGTGTGAGTGGGGGAGGGGCAGAGAGAGAGGGAGAGACAGACAGACAGACAGACAGGATCCCAAGCAGGCTCTGCACTGTCAGCAAAGAGCCCGACGTGGGGCTTGAACTCATGAACCGTGAGATCATTCCCTGAGCTGAAACTGATGCTTAACTTTAGGTGCCCCTAAAGGAGACCGTGAATTATGAATGAATAGCTACTTGACCTTGGACAAATGACTCTGAGCCCACTTTCTCATCTACAAAATTAGCATGACACCACTTTTCCATAGGGGCACTGTGAGGCTTTCACGAAGTCCTAGAAGTAAAGACTCGTTCTCTCCTCTCCTCAGCTGGAGGCACTTTAGGGCAGGAAGGACCATGAGGAGGCTCTATGGGAACCCTACGGCTCCCCCAAAACTGGAAGCCCACACTTCCTCTCTGCAGGCATCTCCTGTGATCACCCACCGCGTGCTCGTCAATCCTGGCCTGCCTTCGTGAGGTCCACACCTTCAGAAGGTCCCGGCGCAGTCTGGGTCACTACTGCTCTGACTGGATTACAGTTCTGAGGGCAAAACCCCTCCAGCGACACCACTGCTGGCCACACAGAAGTCTCCCCGGCTCCAGGGCTCAACACTTCCCACTAATTCACTCAAAGATGCTATTTCTCATGTGTTGTTACTTTGTCGACTACAAATTGACAAATTACTTGCCAAAGTAATTGGCAAGACCGTAGAAATGCAGAAAAAGTTTGCCACCGTGCTACATGGAAATAAAACCTGTGGTTGGGACTCTGTAACGCTCTAGAGACAAAGGACTACGGATGATGTGAGAATAGACAACATTAAAACCATGGTGCGAGGGCTGGGGCATTGTGATTTTTCCTTTGTGAAATATTCTTTAATATTTAATTACCTTTCGGTTTAATTACCTTTCGGCCCACACATTCCTGCTTGCTGCCCTCATTCTGCCTGTGGTGCCTTTGAACGATTCAGCTCAGGGGGTTTGGATCCACTTCCCTTGGTAGAAAGGACCACACTGGGGGCGGGAAGGGGGAATTTCACTTGAATAAGGCCCTGGGCTGCTCAGGGACCGGCCGCTGGCTGCCTCTTTCCACTGAGCACACACCCCTCGTGGCTGAAGCAGTGAGCCGGGCCCATCGCGCTAACCTACAGTGCCCTCCTGTGGCAGAGGCCTGCCTCCGGAGACAGCGGCCACAGAAACGGACCTGAGTGCCAGCAACCCTGACAACCACTTCTGAGGTGTAAAAACTGCACAAAATTGCCAGAATGAGTCAAACTGAACATTTACACGGCCTGAGAGATGGGTCCATCATTGGAGGCAAGCCGAATGGTCTGGGTGGGCTGTCTAAGGAGAGGCAGGAAGTCAAGGCCATTGCCTATCATGTTAGGGCCTGTGGACTGAGCCCCCGTGGCAGGCAGTGGTGCAGAGCTCAACGAGGCTTTTCAAAGAGGTATTCAAGATCCGGGGCACGCAGTCTCTGCTCTTTGTTTTTGTTTTTAGCGAAGTCTCTGAGCATCGTCATGACTTCGTTTTCAAAGATTTCTGGGGCTGGCTTTGCTTCTGCAAGAGAAGGATAGACAGAAAGAATGTCAGTCAATACTCAGGCACAAGGACCTTGAAACCTGAAACTCTAGCCTTGGCAAAGAACCAGTAGATACATAGACTGTCTCCATCCTCCCTCTAAGTATACATGGCAGCCTCCACCGGGAGTCGGCAAACTACGGCAGCCCGTATTTGTAACCAGTCCTATCGGAAGAGCCGCTCCCATCTGCTGACACACTGTCCGTGGCTGTTGTGGCACTACCACGGCAGGGTTGAGTAGCCGTGACAGAGACCGTATGGCCACAAGACAAAAAGCATTCACCGTCTGGTCTTTTAGGGACAAGTTTGCCGACCCCTGGACCGTCCCAGCTCAGCTGCACCATTTTGCTCTGCACTTGGTATTCTCTGGTTTTCTGGGTGTTGTGTTTCCCCTTCCAGCCTATGGACTTCCCGAGGCAAAAATCCTCAGTTGTACATGACAAACTAGTAGCTCTACTGACTTAAGCAAAAAGGAATGCGTTGCAAGGCTATGCACGCAAAATGGACATAAACCCGGAGAACCAGACTTGAATGGACAGACAACGGAACAGCATCGAGGGCAGAAACACAAGAGCGTCATCTTGGGAGCACACGAGGGAATCCCAGTAAGCACCTTCACCTCCAACCTCTCTCTCCAACTTGAGACACTCACCTAAGGTTCAAATTACAAGCAAAGCCTCCCGCCGGGAAAGCTTGGGCAATAACGTGCTGGAGAATGACCCTCCTATCAAGACCACAACGCTGGGAGAGGGAATTCCTCAAAACAATGGCCGATTCCCCCTCACTCAGCACAGAGCCCGGCATCCAATGGACCTGGCATCTGTTTTCTGTGGCGATGAAAATAAAGTCCAGGAGATTCAGGCTTCCCCCAAAGACAGTGAAAGTTCAAGAGAACACTGTGCTCATCCTGACAACAAAAGCCAGATAAAATACAAAGAGCACGACTTTCTGTGAAGTCGTCAGAGAACGGAGGTCGCGGGGCAACCAAGCAGAATAAAATGTAAGGGAAGAGAAGCCCCTCAAAGGAGAAACTGCACATGGGCACCTGCTCGCCCGAGACAGGTGTGGGAAGAAGAGACACTGGATACCCCATGAACAGGTAAGAAGAGTTTGGCTACAATTTTGAACAAACTGCTCCGAGCCAAGTGTGGGCCACAGACACCAGGGGAGTTCACACCCTGCAGGCTGTGGTCAACAGACCTCCAGAATGCGCTCCTGACAAAGACTAGGTTCAGAGCAGGAAGCTGGAGAATGCCTCCCTCAGTGAGGCAGGCCAGGAGGAGGGGAGCGGCCAACAGTGCAAAAAAAAAAAAAAAAAAAAGCATAAAGCCCAGCCCAACCCTTCTCCTCTCAAGAATAAAAGCCTTAAGAGACTGAGACTAGGTCTCCAAATCCAGTCTCCTACAGGGGTAAAAAGGGAAAAGGAAAACAATTCTATTCCTGTGGGACAGGCAGAGCCAGAGAAGTCCACCCCTGGGAGCCCAGGGCCACAGGGACTGAATGTGAACCAGGATAACAGAGAATGCCCTCCCAACTTTCCTTGCCCCAAGGGAGGGAAGCACCAAGTGGGCGCGACAGGAATCTACGGCTGGGGAAGGACAGAGCATGAAGAGATTCCTTTTGAGGCACAGAAATACAAGGAAGGCACAATGCTGAGCATAGAAGGGGAACACTGAGATATGCCTCTGGAAACTCAGCCCCTACTCTAAGGACATGGTAGCAACAGAGGCTCGTGGTGCAGTGAAGGGAACCAAAGCAGTAACAGAATTTAGGGGTACCTGGATGGTTCAGTCGGTTAAGTGTCGGACTCTTGATCTCAGCTCAGGTCTTGATCTCAGGGTTGTGAGTTCAAGCCCTGCACTGGGCTCCACGCTTGACGTGGAGCCTATTTAAAAAACCAAAACCAAAACAAAATCTAAGGGAGCTTTACTCCTAACTAGACTGATTTGATCCCCATCTAATAGCCTAGTAGAAGTGTGCCCATTTCTAGGCATATATAAATACTATCTACTTTAGTCTTTAGTGTTTTCCGCATAATGTCCAACATTCTATCGAAAATTATGATACACATGCACACAAAAGAGGAAAAACACAACACACTGTGAAGGGACAAAGCGATCAACAGAAAAACACTCATGGATGACCCAGATTTTAGAACTATTAGGGAATTTCAAGTAACTAATATGTTAAAGGCTCTAGTAGAAAAAGTAGACAAAAATGTAGGAACAGATAAGCAACTTCAGCAGAGAGTTAGAAACTGTAAAAGTTAAACGTTAATGTTAAAAATAAAAATACAGTAGCAAAAAAGCAGATTGACTTCAACAGGCTCATCAAGAGATTCAACATTTGGGGAACTGGAAGACAGATCAATCAATATTACCCAATAAAAATTCCTCAAACTGATACATAAAAAGAAAAGAGTTGGGGTGCCTGGCTGGCTCAGTGGGAAGAACAAGCGACTCGATCTCTGTGGTGTGAGTTCAAGCCCCATGTCGGTGTAGGGATTACTTAAATAAATAAATATTTTAAAAAGAAAAAAAAAGAAAACAAAGAAAAAAAGAGTTAAAGACACAAAACAGACTCCAAAAGCTGTGGGGTAATATTAAATGGAGTAATGGGATCCAACATTCCCAGAGAACCCAAGCAGAAAAATCCCCAAAACAAACATCAAGACACATCACGTCCAAGCAGCTAACAACCAAAGATGAAACACTGAAAACATTCAGAAACAAATGACACACTGCATACAAAGGAATAAAGAAAGACACAGCAGACCTCTTGTCAGAAACCATGCAAACCAGAAAACAGTACCCAGAATTTGAAGTTAATGCTGTGATGAAGGTAATCAAAACAAACCCAAACCCAGCTCAACTCCTGACCAGACCGACTCAACCCTGCACACTAACAGCCTGGCAAATGAAATGTGCCCCTGCAAAGTGCTGAAAGAAAATACCGTGAACCTATAATTCTATACCCAGTGAAAGAAAGTATCCCTTAAAAATGACAAAAGCAGAGAAAATTCATAATAGTAGACCTGCACTGCAAGAAATATTAAAGGAAGTTCTTTAGGCAGAAGGAATATGATATCAGATAGAAACGTGGATCTATGCAAAGAAATGAAGATCTCCAGAGATAACACAAAGGTAAATATAAAATGTATGTGACACATTGTGTTACATATTGTTGTCATATACACAACACATATAGGAGTTATAATTATCTATACACAAATGTAAAATATAATGTACTCTTTTCCTTATTTTAAACTGCTCTAAAGATAACTGCCTAAAGTGAAGCAGGAGAAATGCAGTGTAGACTTACAGCATAAGTAGAAGTAAAAAGTATGTCAAGAGCGTCACAAAAGATGGGAGGGAGGATTTGGGAGTATATTACTGTGAAGTTCTTACCTCATACACAATTCAGTATAAGATCACTTGAAGAGACACTGTGATTAAGGATGTAGGTTGTAAACCCTACGGCAATCACTAGAAAAATTATAACGAGAGGTATAAATAATAAACCAACAATAGAGGTCGTGTGAAATTTAAAATGCTAAAAAACAAACATGGAAATAGAGGGGGAAAGGAAAAAGAACAGATGGAAAAAACAGGAAACAAAGATGGTAGATTTTAATTCAACCACATTGCTCCTTAATGATATATAACACACCAGTGGAAAGACAGAGACCGTAAGATTGAATGAAAAAGAGACTACGTATGCTATCGATAAGAAGCTCAAACTAAACATAAAGACAAAGATATGGGCCACCTGGCTGACTCGGTTGGCAGAGCATGCGACTCTTGGATCTCAGGTTTGTGAGTCTGAGCCCCACTCTGGGTGTAGAGACTACTTAAATAAATTAATTTAAAAAATACATATAAAGACAAATACAGGTTCAAAGGAAAAGAATGGTGTGGGAGGCAGACTTCTAAGTTGGCCCTCAGTATTTCCCACTCCCCTGGTGTACAGGGCCTGCATAATCTTCAGGATTGTGGGCACAATGGTCTTCACTATCATGATCAGGCTGTATACACGGCATGGCTAACCTCAGGACAGGAAAATTATCTAGGTGGTTCTAACATAATCACATGTGGTTTTTTTCGTGCTCTCTCTTGAAAATGAATAAACTTAAAAAAAAAAAAAAAGACAGAAAAACCCATTATATAATGGTAAAAGAATCAATTCATCAATACAATAATCCTAAATATGTCTTCACACACCACAGAGCTACAAGATACATGAAGGAAAAACTGAGAGAATTGAAAGGAGTAACAGACAAATCCACAATTACAACTGGAGATTCTGACACTCTTCTCTGATTAGTTGACAGGATATGTACAGAGAAAACCAGTCAGAATATGAGGACATGAAGAATAGTATCAACCAAGCTGACCTAGTTGACATTTACAGCACACTTCACCCGCAGGTGCAAAAGACCTGTTATGTTCAAATAAGTGCACGTGAAACATTTATCAAGTATCATGACCACAGTTCAGTCCATAAAACAAATTTCAAGAAACTTAACCAAAACTATACAACGTGCGTTCTGTGGTCACAATGGAATCAATAACAGAGAAATATCTGGAAACTTCTAAATAACTCACGGATCAAAGAGGAAGTCAGAAAGGAAATTAGAAAATAATCTGAACTGAATGCAAATGAAAACATTAACATATCCAAAGTGGCAACATGCAGCTAAAGCAGTGCTTAGAGGGAAATTCACAGCATTAAATGTGTATAGTAGAAAAGGTGGTCTCAAATCATTGAGCTCAACCTCCCCCTTAAAAAACTAAAAAAATAAGAGCAAATTAAGCCGAACACAAGCAGAAAAAAGGAAATAATGAGCAGCAATCAATGGAATTAGAAAAAGAAAAATAGAGAAAAATCAATGAAATCAAACGCTGGTTCTCTGAAAAAAATAAATAAAATTGATAAACTTTTAGCCAGACTGATCAAGAAAAAAAGAAAAACCCATAAATCATCAAAAATAAAGGAGGGACCTCACTACGGCTCTTCAGACATTCAAAGAGAAAGGGAATACTACCACAACTTAGATTTACCAGCTTACGATAATGGGCACTTATTAAAGACACACAAACTAACAAATCTCGTCCAAGAAGAAACGGGTTAACAGGAATTGTTCCACAGCTAGTAAAAAATAAAACATCAGACTTCATAGTTAAAAACTTCCAACGGGGAAAAGCTCAGATCCAGATGGCTTCCCTAGCACATTCTACCAAACATTTAAGGAAGAAATAATACCAATTCTATATACTCTTTCAGGAAATGACAAAGGAGAACACTTCACAACTCATTTTATGAAGACAGCACGACCCCCATCAAAACCAGATGACGTTACAAGATAACTACCCGCCAAAACCCTCATGAAGACAGATACAGAGATCTTCAAAATATTAGCAAATCAAATACCTATCAAGCCCAGGTGGGGTTTAGCACGGTAATGCAAGGTTGGTTCAATATTTGAAAACCAATCAGTCAAAAATTCATCATATCAATAAACTAAAGGGAAAAAAATCATATGACCAAAAAATGATCATTTCTACAGAAATGCCTAGAAAGCACCTGACAAAATTCAGTATCTATGGAAAAACACTCAATATACTAGAACCAGAAGGAAATTTTCTCAATCTGATAAAAGGAATTTACAACTAACCTACAGCTAACTTATTTATTTATTTATTTATTTATTTATTTATTTATTTATTATTATTATTTTTTTAAATGTTCATTTTTGAGAGCATGCACACACGCATGCACACACAAGCGGGGGGAGGGCAGAGAGAGAGGAGGACAGAGGATGTGAAGCAGGCTCTGTGCTAACAGCAGAGAGCCTGATGCGGGGCTCAAACTCACGAGCAATGAGATCACGACCTGAGCCGAAGTCGGACACTTCACCGACTGAGCCACCCAGGCGCCCAGCTAACATTATATTCAATGGTGAAAGACTGAATACTTCCCCCCAACAGTGGGAACAAAGCAAGGATGCCTGCTCTCACTGCTGCTATTCAGCATACGAGACATCCCAGATAGTTCAATAAAGCAAATTAAAGATATAAAGGGGATACAATACAGACTGGAAAAGAAGAAAAAAAAAACATCTCTCTTCACAAATGACACAACTGTCTGCATGGAAAATCCCGAAGAATCTACAAAATAGCTTCTAGAACTGAGTGAGCTTAGCAAGGTCACAGGATACAAAAATCAATTATACTCTGACATTCCACCAACAATGGGAGATTGGAAGCTTTTCTTAAAGTACCATTTATAACAGCGCCAAAATACATGAACTGCCTAGGTATAAATCCAGCAAAAGATGTCCAAAATAACGCTGAAAACTCCACCACACGGATTGTAGCAGTCAGACTTCTAGGATGGCCCCCACTGAGGTCCCCCTCTTGGTATCAAGCCCTTGTGTGATCCCCATCCCCACACTGCGCTGGACCGAACTCTTTAATTCAAACCAACAGAACGTGGTGAGGATAACAGAATGTCATTTCTGGGATTATGTTACAAAACACTGAGACTTCCGTCATACTAGCGGACTCCTCTTGTCGCCTTCTCAGCTGGCAGGCTCCAAAGAAGCAAGCTGCCAAGTGGGAGAGGCGCTGGTGACAACGAACAGAAGGCAGCCTCCAGGCAACAGCCAGCAAGGAACTCAGGCCTGCAGGTGGGGAACCTGTGAGGCACTTCATTCTGCCAACAGCAGAGAGAACTTGAAGCAGCTCCTTCCCTAGCTGAGCCTCCTCATGAGACTCCCGAACCCAGGCTGACACCTTGACTGTAACCTCGTGACAGAATAAGGCACAGGACCCAGCTAAGCCATGCCTGGATTCCAGACCCACAGCAACGATGAGATAATAAAGGTGGGTTTGTTTTAAATCCGTAAGTTTTGGGGTAATCTGTTATACAACAATAGAGAACATGCTGATTAAAGAAGTCAAAGGCCTAAATAAATGGAAATACAGCATGGTCATAGATCAGACAATTCTAAATTGCTAAAAAAATTTTTTCCAAATTGATCTGTTGATTTAACACAATTCCAATCAAAATCCAAGTAGAATTTTTTTTTTTTAGAGAAACTGAACAGGTGATTATAAACCTATACAATTCCTAGAAGAAAACAGCAAAAATCTTTGTGACTTTGAATCAGGCAGAGTTCTGAGATACAGTATCAAATGCACAATCCACTAAATCACCCAATAAAACATGGTACATCACCAAAATTAAAAACTGCTCTTTGCGGGGCTCCTGGTTGGCTCAGTGGGTTAAGCCTCCAACTTCAGCTTGGGTCCTGATATCACGGGTCACGAGTTTGAGCCCCAAGTTGGTCTCTGTGCTGACAGCTCAGAGTCTGGAGCCTGCTTCAGATTCTGTGACTCTCTCTCTCTCTCTCTCTCTCTCTCTGTCCTTCCCCCACTCACACTGTCTCTCTCTCTATCAAACATAAATAAACATTAAAAAAAAACAAACCTGCTCTTTGAAAAATAATGTTAAGAAAATGAAAAGACAAGCCATGGACAAGTAAAAAGAAATCTGTAAGACACATCATCTGATAAAGGACTTGAATCCAACATACAGAACACTCAAAACTCAATTAGAAAACAAGCCCAATTAAGAAAAAAAATAAAGGTGGGTAAGATTTGAAGAGACATATCAGCAAAGATATAGGAATGGCAAATAAACACTGAAAAAAGAGCCTCAATATCCTTAATTATCAGAGCCATGCCAATTCACTACAGTGAAATACCACTGCATACTCCTTACTTAGAGTGGCTAAAAACAAGAACAAAACCCTGATAATACCAAGTGCTGGTAAGGATGTGGAACTTCACACCCAGTCCCTGGCAATCACTGGTCTGTTTTATGCCCCTACACTTTTGCCTTTCCCAGAATATCCTACAAATGGAATCATACAGTTTGTATGGTCAGTCTTTGATCCTGGCCCCTTTCACTTGCACAGGAGTCGGCAAACTATGGCCTGTGAGCTAAGGATGACTTTTAAATGGTTGAGGAAAAAAGTCATTTCACGACACGTGAAAATTATATGAAATCCAAGGTTCAGTGCCTGTCAATAATCTTATTACATCACGGTCACACTCAATTGTTTACCTATCGTCCGTGACAGTTTGCATGCTCTAAGGGCAGGAGGTGAATATCACGCCAGAGACTATATGGTCGGCAAAGCCTAAAATATTTACTACCTGTCCCATTATAGAAAAAGTTCCTCATAAACATACACTTACAACAGGACTCATTAACCCTTCTCCTGGGTATCTACCCTAGAAAAACTAAAACCTACTTCCACAAAAAGCTATATGCATTTATAGTGGCTTTATTCATAATCACCTAAAACTGGAAATAACATGATATCCCTCTAGTGGTTAATGGATAGACAAACTGTGGTAGGCCCACACGATACAACTTTACTCAACAATACTAAAAGCCCAGAGCGTAAAAAGTTCACACCTTGTGGGTTTTCCAATGGCTATATAAATCTCTAGACTCTGTACCATCACACTCTACACGTGGAACCTACAGAATGGTGTCTATTTTATGACTCAGATATTGAGTGGAAACATAATAACCGAAGACCCAGAGTATGACAGAAACGACACGATGTCCCCTAATACCCGTTCTCTCATTTTTCCTTGATAATAAAGGAACCCCCAAGTTAGCTAGACACATAGACTATAGTATTTTCTCATTATGATGAGGTGTAGCCATGTGACTAAACTGTAGCTAATGGAAAGTAAGCAGAAGCACGGTGCAGAATTTCTCAAGAAGGATCCATAAAGAATCGGGTGTGTGCTTCTATACGTCGACTTCTGGCTGGAACACGGACGGGACAGACAGGGCCTCAGCGAACTTTAAGTAACAAAACCATTTTGCACTTGTTTTGCAAAACCGTTTCTCACTCTGAAGAATGTGAAGAATGTGAATGTGTTTGGGTTGAGTGTCCATTACGTGAATGAACAGCAAAAAAATTGCCTAGGCTACAACTCCAGACGCAAATCACCGCAAGCCATCCTATTTCTCATATCATGCTGCTTGTTTATCATGCCCAGTACCTGTGGCCCAGTAGTAAATATCCCAGTCGTTACTGGGCTCATTAATCAGACGATCATACAGGTTCAGCTGTTTCTCTGTCATGTGGTGCAGGTATTCTTTAGCAAAGAGGCTAAAAACGAGAAAGAGAGAGAAGGAAGCTGAAAAGGCGGTCTCCAGTATGAGACAAGCGATGCCGAGACTCGTATTTCCCTACCTAAGCAGAATACAGTTTTCCAACATTCCCCTCTTTCTGCTCTCATAGAGCAGCCGGGCTCTTTTGGTTTCTATGGATTCATCAGTTCGCTCCTGCCACGGAGGTAAAGGTATTTCAATCATGTCTTTTTGGGAATCTGTCGGGCTGTCACCTCTGTAGAAACGGCTGAATGATGTCGTGCTGAGCGAGGGTGACACTAGGTGGCGCCTTGGCAGAGCAAGCATCTGAAATAAATAAAGCACAAACATTTTTATAATAACTACCGTCACTGTCATTCCCTCAACACTTCCTAAGTACTAAGCTCATTCAATCTCCTTTAGTCCTTAAGAAGTTATGTTGATACTGTTCCCACTTTATAGCTTAGGAAGCTGAGGCTAGAAGAGGTTAAATAATTACCAAGGTCACCCACATAGTGACTGCAGTTAGGACTAGAAAATGGTCCTAACTGCATATGTGTTCTTAACTGGTACCTTTCCAGAAATTCTCCAGCAGAAGTATCTTCTCCTTCCTTTGCATTCCCTTGAAGTTCTTATGGTGTTGTATATATTTTAGTTACTTGCCTGTGTTAGAGTCTGAGTATACAGTGACGGCATGGTTCCTAATCCCCAGAAGACTCCCAATCTAGAGAAGGGTAAAACCTATCAAGATGCAACGAGAAGGCAGTGATGCCAGCAAGATGGTGGAACAGGAAGCTCCCACTCCCCTCCTCCCACGGAGACAGCAACTCTACAACAATACATGGACCGATTCCCTTTATGAGAAATCCAGAAACCAGGTAAGAAGCTCCTGAAATAAGAAGTCAGCAAATCCTTCCAATAGAGAACTTCTATGCACCAGCCCAGAGAAGATATATCCACACAAAAATGTTTGAGAGGCTCCCAGAATCTTTAGCCAGGCTGACCGCTGAAGGTCTTTCCTTGCACAAAGCCAATCTAAAAAGACTGGGAGAGCAGACTGTTTTTTTTGAAAGCCTGGATTCAACATAAATTTGCAAGGGACACGAAGAAACAGGAAAAAACATGGCCCAATCAAAGAAACAAAATAAATCTCTAGAAGCCAACCCTTAAGAAACAGAGGCATATGAATTACCTGACAAAGAATTCAAAACAACTGTCATCAAGATGTTCAGTTTGCTCTGCAAGACAGTGAATGAATGGAATGACAATATAAACAGAGACAAATATTAAAAAGAACCAAACAGAAATTTTGGAGCTAAAGAATACAATAACCAAATGAAAACAAATTCGCTATGGGGGTTAACTAGCAGACTTGATCAAGCAGAAGAAAGAATCAGTAAACTTAAAGGCAGGTGATTTGAAATTTCCCAATCAGAGAAAGAAAAAAAAAAAAAAGAATGAAAAAGAGTGAAATATGCCTAAGGGACTTATGGGACATCATCAAGCAAGCCAACACAAATATTATGGAGGTCCCAGAAGGAGAAAAGAGACAGAAAGCTTATTTAAAGAAATGGCCAGGGGTGGCTGGCTGGCTCGGTCGGTGGGAGCATGTGACTATTGATCTTGGGATTGTGAGTTTGAGCCCCACATCGGGTGTACAGCTTACCAAAAAAAAGAAATTAATACAAAGAGATGACCAGAGGGGCGCCTGGGTGGCTCAGTCGGTTGAGCGTCCGACTTCAGTTCAGGTCACGATCTCACGGTTCGTGAGTTCGAGCCCCATGTCAGGTTCTGTGCCGACAGCTCAGAGCCTGGAGCCTGCTTCAGATTCTGTGTCTCCCTCTCTCTCTGCCCATCCCCACTCATGCTCTGTCTCTCTCTGTCTTAAAAATAAATAAAACAGGGGCGCCTGGGTGGCGCAGTCGGTTAAGCGTCCGACTTCAGCCAGGTCACGATCTCGCACTCCGTGAGTTCGAGCCCCGCGTCGGGCTCTGGGCTGATGGCTCAGAGCCTGGAGCCTGTTTCGGATTCTGTGTCTCCCTCTCTCTCTGCCCCTCCCCCGTTCATGCTCTGTCTCTCTCTGTCCCCAAAATAAATAAACGTTGAAAAAAAAAAATTTAAAAAAATAAATAAATAAATAAATAAATAAATAAATAAAACATTAAAAAAAATAAATTAAAAAAAAAAGAAATGGCCAGAAACTTGCCAAATTTGGGGAAGTTTGGACATCCAAATTCAAGAAGCCCAAAGGACCCAAAGGACAATAGAAAACAATACAAAAGCATATGAAAGCATAAAGATCACTGGTAAAGATAAATATATGACAAATACAGAATACTGTAATATTGTAAGTGATAGGTAAATCACTTTTTTTTTTTTTTAGTGTTTTTTTTTTTTTAATTTTTTTTTTCAACGTTTATTTATTTTTGGGACAGAGAGAGACAGAGCATGAACGGGCGAGGGGCAGAGAGAGAGGGAGACACAGAATCCGAAACAGGCTCCAGGCTCTGAGCTATCAGCCCAGAGCCTGACGCGGGGCTCGAACTCCCGGACCGCGAGATCGTGACCTGGTTGAAGTCGGACGCTTAACCGACTGCGCCACCCAGGCGCCCCTGTAAATCACTTTTAATGCTAGTACAGAAGTTAAAAGAGAAAAACATCAAAAAATAACAAAATATACTAATAGGTACGCAATATAAAAATATGCAGTCGCGACATCAAAAACATAAAGCGGGAGGAGTAAAAGAGTAGTTTTTTTTGCAATGACAGTAGAGTTAAATTGCTATCATCTTAAAATAGATTATGCTTCATGTAAGCCCAATGGTAACCAAAAAGAAAATACCCATAGAAGATACATACAGAAAATGAGAAAAGGATTAAAGCCGGTCTCTACAAACGAAACAAAACAATGAAACACAAAGGATAATAACAAGAGAGGAAAAAAGGGACACAAAAGCTACAAGATGGATAGAAAACAAAATGGCAATAGTAAGTTCTTCTCGATCAGTAATTACACATAAATGAACTAAACTCTCCAAACAAAACACTAGAGTGGCTAGATGGATTAAAAAACAGGATCCAGGGGCGCCTGGGTGGCTCAGTCGGTCAAGTGTCCGACTTCGGCTCAGGTCATGATCTCCCGGCTCATCTGAGCCCCTCGTTGGGCTCTGTGCTGACAGCTCGGGGCCTGGAGCCTGCTTTGGATTCTATGTCTCCCTCGCTCTCTGCCCCTCCTCCACTCATGCTCGGTCTCTGTCAAAAATAAATAAACATTAAAAAAAATTAAAAACACAAAACAAAACAGGATCCAACTATAAGCTGCTACAAAAGACTCCTTTTAGATATAAGACTACACAGGCTGAAAAGCGAAAGGATGAAAAAAAAGATAACCCGTGCAAATGGTAACCAAAGAGCAAAGATGGCACTACTTATGTCAGCCAAAATAGGCTTTGGGTCAAAAACTGTCACAAGAGATAAGGAACATTATTATAGAATGATAAAAGGATCAATGCACCAGGAATATGTAACAATCATAAACATACATGCAGCCAACATCAGAGCACCCAAACACGCGAAGCAAACATTGACAGAACTGAAGAAAGAAACAGCAAAACAATAAAAATAGATTTCAGTACTCCACATTCAATGGATATCTATCATTGGATAGGTATCAATGGATATCTATCAATGGATAGAACATCTGGACAGAAGATCAATAAGTAAACAGAAGACCTTAACAACACTATAGATCAAGTGGACCAAAACGGACACATCCAGAACATTCCAGCAGAGCACATTCTTTGCAAGCACCCTGGGAATATTCTCCAAGACAGATCACCTTAGGTTGCAAAACAAGTCTTACCCAATTAAAAAAGGTTAACATCACACAAAGTATCTTTTCTGACCACAATGAACTAAAACTAGAGATCCACAGTAGAAGGAAAACTGGAAAATTCACAAATATGTGAAAATGAACACACTCTAGGTGATGAATAAACCAATAGTTCTAACGGGTCAAAGAAGGAATCAAAAGGGGAATTCCAAAACATCCCGAGACAAGCGAAAACACAACATACAAAAACTTATGAGGTGCAATAAAAAAGTAGAGAGAAGTTTACAGTCTGAAATGCCTGCATTAAAAAAGAAAAAAAAAATCTACGATGTGAAATCCTAACATGTATTAGACGCATAAGAACAGAGACTCAAGAACAGAGAGAAGCGGCGCACAGAGGCGGTGCAGCCAGCTCCACCTGGGGAACAGGTGAAATCTGAATTGGGTCTCGCACGAGTCAGGCACACAGTGGGCTCAGAAGAGTGGATGTGACCTGAATCTCCTATGTTTCAAGACGGATCTCTCCTTGGGTCTGCCCTTGCCCTGGGCTATCAAGCAGCTGGACGCTCCTCGCAGTCTCCATGACTGCGTTGGAAGACGAGACTCAGTCCCCACTACGGCCTGCCCAGGACCCTAAAACCTCCACTCTCCTCACCCGTGCCAGACCCGGGAACATGGTGGCCACCGCCATCCTTCCCGACCTTCACCGGAAGCCTGTGGCCCAGGCACTTCCGGACGCCTGAACTGTGGACTTCTGCTCTGAGGCCCTGAGCCGGAAGATGAGTCCCTGCGTATGGCGGAAGTGGCTGTGCGTGTGACGCCAGCGGCGGGGGGGGGGCGGGACCTGGGACCGAGAGCGGTTCGCGCGCTTCGGGCCTAGTCCGGACTCGCCGCCGCCGCCGCCATATTCCCGGTAACGGGGGCGCGCGGCCGGGGGCCGGCTGGGCCGGAAGAGGGCTCGGGGCCAGCGCTGAAACTGGGAGGGGGTCGGTTGAGTTTGGGGCAGCCGGAGTCGGCGGGCGGAGGGAGGCGCGGGCCTTTGAGGGAGGAGGCCGAGGGCGCCGGGCCGAGTCTGTGGGGAGGGAGCGGGGCGGGCCTAGCCGGGGGCGAGGACTGGGCCTGGGTGGGGAGCGAAGGCGGCTGGAGCTCCGCGACCCGCAGGGACGCAAGCCGGGGCCGCTCTGGGGCCTAGGCAGGTGCGGCGGGCTGGGGCAGCGGGCTTCGCCGCGGTCGTTCTTCGCAGCGCCGTCCCAGGGCCCCTAGGAGCAGAGGCCTGGACTTTTCCGTCGCGCCGCGGGCAGCTGCGGCGCAACTCGGGTCGGGCCCGAGGGTGATGGGCAGCGAGCCCCGCGAGCCCCGGCGGCCTGGGAGAGCGAGGGGCGGCGCGAGGCCGGGGGCGGGGCGGAGCGGGTGGGACCGAGCTTGGGCTGCCGGGATGCTGCGTCTCTGGAGACTGGAGGTTGGCAACCATTGCTCTCCTCCCAGCCCGGGACCCTCACGCCTTCTCACTCTTGCCTCTTCCAGGATACCGCAGTGGCATCTTTCTTACTTGGTCGGTTCTCCGGGCTCGCGATCTTCCTTCCGGAGCCATGTCAGAAGGAGTGGACTTGATTGATATATATGCTGACGAGGAGTTCAATCAGGTGAGGGGTCATCGGGAGCATTGGATTTTCCTGGATCAGCTGAGGAATCACTTTCCCCAAACTTACGGTGGTTCCAGGCTATGGCAGTCTTTGCTAGGCCTGAACATCCCTCTGTAGGGTCTAAAATGTTTCCTCTATCAGAGACTTTCGAGACTTCTGACCGTTCCGCTTTATGTTAATTTTAAGCCTCCAGGCTTAATTTTACAAGCTTTGGTTTAAGAGCAAATAAAAATCAGGTTTAATAGAATGGGGATCAACCTGTGGAACTTGCTCCCCCAGGAGGCCAGAGTTGGGTGCCAGTCTGCTCAGAGACTGAGCACACTTAAAAACCAGAATTATGTTTGCTGTAGTATTCGTGAAGACGGTGTTCATACCCGTTCCTTTGTGACTCTTTCAAACGGCAGCTGGAGAAACGTAGTCTCCTCCTCCATGAGGCAGTGCAAAGGCACACTATAAAAGATACTTGAACAATCAGTTGAAGCTCCATTCTGACTGTTCTGGGCTTTACTTCTTCCTGTAAGTAGTTTGACTCCAGTCTTCAGCGGTGCGTAGGCATTTTGGTGTAATAAATTTTATTTTATTGTTGAATCTCATTGTTTTGAGGGAAAACCAGTTAAAAAGCAGGTATAGACCTGTGGATTTGTTGATCTCTTTATGTTACGTCAAGGAACATTACATGGTGATTTTCCTTGAAACAGTAATATATTGAGGTCAAGCTCAAGAATGTTCTGAAGTCTCTTTTTATTCTACTTTTTTGATAAATTCTACCAAACTTTCATTCATTTATTTATTTAGAGGGCGTGCTAGTGGGGGAGAGGGGCAGAGGGAGGGAGAGAGTGAGAGAGAGAGAGACAGAAAGAGAATCTTAAGCAGGCTCCACATTCAGCGCAGAGCCTGTAGTGGGGCTTGATCCCATGACCGTGGGATCATGACCTGAGCCAAAATCAGGAGTCAGTCACTCAACCAACTGAGCCACCCAGGCACCTCTCAAAGTCTCTTTTTAAAACTTAGTAGTATCTTGCCTGGATTGTTTTCAGCACCATTTTACTTGAGTAAACTTGTTCTTTCATTGGTGTCTTTCAATGCATACACACAAGAACCTGGAAAGAGGGTAAAAAGAAGAGACTAGGGAAGGAGAGTGCCCTGGTTGGACCCTGACTTTTATACAAGGCAACAGAAGAGGTTCTGTACACTTGGCAAAAGTTTGCGTTAAAAAAAAAAAAAAATTAACACATTATGCCATTTTAACATGGAGACGTTAAAATACAAAAGTAGAGAGATTAGTATAATGATCTTGTACCCATCATACAGCTTCATCAGTTATACTTTTTAATAGTCATTTTCCCACGTCTCCTCAGGTATATTGGAGTCATCTACATGTTGACCTAAATACGTGAAAAAAATTTTTGAGCTCAAACAAGTCAAATAATTATGGCTGAATAGAAAGGTTCAGTATATCAGTTTAGTTACAACCATTGTTTTCCTGAGTTTTCCATATTACTTTGAATCAGACCTTTACTATTTACAAGCTATGGGTGGTTTTCATTTTTTTGTTTTGTTTTTAGTACATGATAGGAAGGATAGTTATTAATAAAAACCCTTTTTCCCCCCTTAATTTTCTTCTCTATAGGTAGATAACCATGCTGCTGAATCAGTTTGAGAAATGAGCAGAACAGGATAGGTCTAGTCACATTTGGTCTTAGAAAATGGAATTTCAGAATTTGTTAAGCAGTATAACTTATAGGGTATAGTCAAGGCACAGACCTTATCCAGTGGTCGCTGCCGTGTCTTTGGCCTCAACAATTTGTTCTCCTGTGTCTTTAGTTAAAAAAGACCTGGGGTGGCTGGGTGGCTCGGTCGGTTGAGCGTCCGACTTCAGCTCAGGTCATGATCTCGCGGTTCGTGAGTTCGAGCCCCGCGTCAGGCTCTGTGCTGACAGCTTGGAGCCTGGAGCCTGTTTCCGATTCTGTGTCTCCCTCTCTCTCTCTGACCCTCCCCCGTTCATGCTCTGTCTCTCTCTGTCTCAAAAATAAATAAACGTTTAAAAAAAAAAAAAAGGCTTGTTTATGGGTGTAAGGCCAAAGATGGTGTGTGGAATCTAGTAGACGTTTGTATCAAATAGACAATAATTAATGCTTGGCAAGTTGGAAGAAGTACAGATTTTGAATATCATGTCCATTTATGGAAGGTCCAGGGAGGAGTGCTCCTCTCATGAGTAAATTTTTGGTAAAGCCGGTTTTAGTGTAATTGGGAGGCTGCTAAAGAAATGATTAAGGTTTTGTTTGGCAAGCATTGTAAAAAGCAAGGTTAGACTGAAGGCAGCCAGTACAGATTGTGTTTTAGAATGTTTTAAGAATATTAAGGATTCATCCCAAGCTCAAGAACCCATGCTCAAGAATCTTGTCACATGGTACTCTGGTCCCCAGGCAAAATGAACAGTTTCTAGATGGAACCCTGTGGTGCTGACTCCCTGATCCCCTGTAACGTGCTATAAAAGCCTCTTTTTGCCGAACTGTTTTACTCCCGTCACATCGGGAGTCTTGAAATTCACAGCTGCTCTCTTGGGCTGGGAGGTACTCTGGAAAAGTGAGTGAGAGCTGCCGCTTTGCTGAGTGTTTCTCTCTGTACCTTGTGCTAAGCAAGGTGCTTTGCACACTACCCAGTTCTCTTTGCTATTTTCATCAAGTATTTATTGAGCAATTTCTGTTTGCTAGGCACTGTGTCAAGACCAGTGAGGGAATGGGGAACAAATGGATCCCTGTGTTCAAAAGACGTTCCATTCCTGGCGGTTGAGGGCAGTGGATAGTGGCAAGGAAGGCAGGCATGAGGTGAGGACTGGAGACAGTCGTCATAAAGCCAAAAACTTTGAGCTTTAGTTACAATTAAAAGGAACATTGAGTAGGTTGCTTTGAGAAAAATAAATGCTAACCTTTCTTCTCTCAGATATCAGGAAAAGGGGGTTGGAGGGTAGAAACATTGAACATACAGGTGGAAAGGTTCTTCCTTAAATTCAGAATCATGCAAGTTGTTTTTTATCTAAAGAGCTTCTTGAGACCGCCACAGTTCTTCCTATACGATTAAACACAAAATTCTTCCTGATATAATCAGTTTTAAATACGAATACATACTTTTTAATCTCCCTGGAACTAAACCTTTGGCATCAGTGCACATAAAACATTGTATTTTTCCCTTAATTTGTAGAATTAGATTTTGCTTTAACCTAATTCAACACTGAGTAAATCGCCAGCTCATTTGGTAATCAGAAAAGCTTCAAGGCCTTATCTGTTTTTCTCTTACCAGCTCAAGAACTTAAAATGACTTGGTGTTGCCAGTAGACTTAAATTCAGACACAACTTGATACGTTGTTTCTTCAACAGACTCCTCCACAGGCCTGCTCTGTGCATCAGAACAGTTCCCAGGTTCTATGGCCCAGAGAAACCATTTGAATCTTGTGACAGTTTTGGATTCATTGAATCCTTTTGTGCTTCTTAAAGTGGTAAGGTAATCATGTACAAGGTTTTTCAGGATTTGAGTCTTACCGTGTTCTCTAAGGGTCCCTAAAAGAGTAGATTGTTTGCCTAGGCTTGCGGTATGGGAGGTTTCCTGGTCACGTATGTGAACTCTAAGCTGGCCCAAATCTGCACGCTAGTTCACTACCCAAGTATCAGTGGTGATTTTTGTATTATAACTTTTAGATTCGCATCTCTGAATCACAGATAGTGCCGGAAGGAATCCTAATTTGGTTCCACTGAGTATCCAAGATGGTGTGTTTCTTTATTCCCTTTAAGTTCCATTTCAAAATCCTCGATTTAAATTTAAGAAGTGGGGTGCTTGGGTGGCTCAGTCCGTTAAGCTCCCAACTTTGACTCAGGTCATGATCTCAACGGTTCGTGAGTTGGGGTCCCACGTCAGGCTGTCTGCTGTGAGAGTGGAGCCCGCTTCGAATCCTCTGCCCCTCCCCTGCACACACTCTCTCTCTCCTTCTCAAAAATAAAGAAACACTCAGTAAATAAAGAAATGAATTTTTTTATTTCTGGTGTGGACTATTGCTCTCTAAGGATTAGAACGTTGAAGAGGCTCAAGCGGTTTCCATCTTCTTCCTTTGAA